ATACGAACTCATAATGAGAATACACTGATATGATAGCGCTTTGTAGCTTGTTTGTCGTTTTGGTAACTACATCAAAATTACCGCTAGGTCGACAAAAATCACGCCATCTGGCGGAAAATCACGCAGCTTTTTCAAATCACGCGAGAATGTGTAAAAAAACAACAAAAATGGCACCGGCAACCCTTCTGGGTCGTTTTTATTGAATGTCTTTGATTTTACAGTAATTTTGAGTGATAAATATTCTTTTTTTGTGATCATTGCACTTGCCCGGCGGGCAATTGCAATGAAATTTGTACTCTCCCGACAATAAAAACTCCTTGCCCCGGGAGATCGGGCAATAGTTAACATCGAACCCCGCACTTGTTTGTGCACATTAATTATGTTTTTGATAAGAAATACTTTAGTTAAAATGCCATCAGAATGCTTAAGTGTGTCTCAGCCCCCCCCCTTCAGTGTCCACCATGGATCAGTCCATTTGCTGTGCATGTGCAGAAAGGTCCAAATAGACAGCAGCAAACCATTTGAACACAAACGGCTAGAAGAGCAGTGTTGCCAACTTGCCAACAGCTCTGTCACTACACTTTTCAGACCCCTCTAGAACTTTTATTACAAAAAAGCACTTAGCGCCAAATCTAGTGACTTTTTTCTGCTACTGGAGACTTTGGCAACAACAAAAGCACAGAATTCTGCTCTCCAGAGTGACTAGATTGGCAACCCAAGTGTACCGTAAAAACTTAAAAAAATTAAATATATGTACAATATTTGCAATTATGTTAACTCTTAATTAACACAAACTAAACTTAAAGGGGTCATAGAATGCAAACCGAGTTCCAACGGTCATAGATGAATAACGGTAGTTCAGTGGGTGAGATGGACGTACGGAGAAGTTCAAACACCATCGACACCTCCTTTCTCTGCAAATCTCACAATTCTAAACTTCCACCATAAAACGGGCAAATCCAATCCAAATCCAGTGGGGAACTGAAGGACCAAACCCAACCCGGTGATGGGTTGCCTTACGGGGCCGCCGTTGGCCAGGCTACCGTCACCGGTTCGGGGTCGGTTGCTCCATCCCCCGCTTGGCTCCTTGTTTTGACTACGTGCTGTATTGTATTAAATCCAAATCCTGGGCAAATTTAAAATCCCCCCCTGACATTTTTTCAAGTATGAAAAGTAGGACATGTCCGGGAAAAGTTGGACATCTGGTCACCCTAACATATCAACAATTTGATGTGTCAGTGAGTGAGTGCTTGTTGCTATGATGCGTTTTGGCTCAGCAGCTTCGCTTGATGTAAACCAACCAATCAGGGCACAGCTCATCTAAATATTCATGATCATACCATAAGAGGAAGAAAACCTGTGATTTCATTCTAGGGCTTTTAACCAGGCTTGCATTAGGGCTATAGAACAGCAAATATTTTCAGCCCAACCAATGCCTAACCTGACTCTGCCAGATGGATTTGCTCCGCATATCCATCTGGAAACCTTCTGTTGAAGTAATTTTGGGAAGGGGCGAAAATACTGGTTAGCTGATTGGCCTATGTT